CCCTTTGTGGGCAGTCAAGAAGCAGCCGAATTGGGAAGGTTTGATTGGGAGTTCTTGGTGTCAATTGTGGTGTCGGTTTGGTGAAGCTGAGCCTGGTTTAGTGTTGATTGAGCCTCAAATTTCTACACTGCAAGAACCAAATGAAAGTGATCTTTTCAAGTTAACTATAGTTCTTTCACAATAACTCAGATATGGGTTTTACAGGTTTAGAATTAAGGGATATAAAGTTGGTTGGTCGTGAAAAATGCGAAACCAAGGCCAGAGCAACAATCTATGGTACATTGATATTTTTTTATTAAGTAATTTGGGATCCTAACATAAAATGATTGGTAATTGAACTTGACAGCAAAAGAATTTGGCAACAATTAATAAGAATTGAAGAAGAGAGTCCAACCAAATAGAAGGACAAGAACAGTAAACCTTGGACAGATAGAACGAAATAATTTTATTAAGCTGCTGGGAAAATAGCGAACCTCTGACACAATAATGCAAGCAATTTCCTGTAAGGAGATATACTCTCATCCCCACCAACAAAAATGGTGACAGAAACTGCAAAATTCTACATATTTACATATCCAATGTCAATAGACCATTGCCGAAAAAGAGTACATGACAAAAATGCCTGTCTATCTATTTCCAACTTGCCTCAAAACCCGAAAAGGGAAGGTAAAAAATATTTAATGAATTCAAATAGAAGTGTTTGTCTACTTGATGGCGTAGGAGCTGGTGCAAACTGCCTCAAGCGCTTCTGTCATCAAAGCAGAAAAACTGGTCATAGCTTGGAAAACACCAGGCAATCCTGTTTGCAAGTTGTTTAACGTCATTGCTCGGGTCACCTCAACTGCCTTCGTGTGTTTGTGCATTTCGTCTTCCACCCGTCTTTGGCAAATTGCAAGCTCGGCTTTTTTCTCGGCAAGTGGGTCTCGTGTATCCATACCATGCCCATTTTCAAGCCCAGTGTCAGGAAGACCTATGCCGACCATAGAGTAAGTTTGATAATACTTTTTCTCAATGTTTCTGAGAGAGGAAGCTTTTTTCTCGAGCTCCTTCGATACAGTTTCAGTTCTTTTCTGGATCTTGAGCTCCTCCATTTGTTTTAAAGATATTGAACGAACAACATTGACGAAACTTTTGATGGCTTCAGAGGCAACTGTATCGGGAATCTGATCGAGTGAAAGTTTCCACTCATCACAAAAAGCAAAAACCTCAGACAGTTCCCCGTTGCCATTAGTTGCTTCGCCACTGACTGGAAGGAGGCTAAGCTTGAACCAGCCATGGAGAGAACGAACAAAATCTCGTTGGAATTTTATCAGGCAGCAGAAACTAGAATGCCAGGCAGATACAGCTGATTCAAGATCTCGTGTTGCCTGCCTGTGCATATCAAATGTTGGTTCACCTTTTTTTGCTTGATTAACAAGGCCTCGCACTTGCTGCACGATATCATTCTGGACTTCATGAAACTGATGCATTGATCTCCACATGTACGTAAACCTGCATTCATTTTTCACCGATTTAATACTGGGTTGTTAGCCATGCAAAAGCATACCCGTATAATTAATGAAATCAAAGATATAGTATGAACAAGAAGAAAATACATGAACATCAGTTTTAAGATTCAATTAAAGTTCATGGCCGCTCTATCTATGACACGAACTTAGTATTTTGGAACCAAAAGACTTCTATAATGACATTGATGCTGGGTAGAGTTCATTGAAAAGATTGCAAACTAATGCCTCTTCATTAGTTATTCAATGTACCATTACTTAAATCAACCTTCTATGGATTTATGTAAATTTGGTCTGTACTGTAATTATAATGACACGGTACTTAAGAGGTTTACCATTTTAATAATTTTGATCTTGACTAATCTCATCCCATCACAGAAGATGACTAGTATAGCTAGTGGATCGTATGACAATCAACTCATATACCTAACTCCAACCAATAATTCCTTTTTACATAAGCAATATTAAACTGTAACAAACTAAGAGTCTGCATATAGAAACAAAAAAAAAAAATCATCCATACAGGGCAATAGCCTAATTTGAAGAGGCGAGGCTGGTGGAAGTTGGGTATAACTTCGGTGGAGAGGGTCCATCAATTATGGAAGGATTAGGCAAGTGGCATTGCACATGGAGAACAGAACTTCATAATGTTTCACCTACCACCATTAAATACGAAGGACCAAAAAGCAACACCAACATGTTTCCTTAGAAAAATGAAATAAGAAAAAAGAAAGCAAAGGTGCAAAAACATAAAAATAAACAGATAGAACGATTGAAGGCCAAATGAAATAATTTTCAAAAGGACTCCTTCATTGAGAAGTCACAGGACCATCCACTATTACTGCCTTCGCCCTTGAGGCCGAAAGGATATTTTTAGGTGTAAACACATAAGCTTCAGGAGAGTTCAATATACTATTAGGGAACAACTAGTTAGAATAAACTTACCCATGACAAAGTTCCACAAGCTGCGGGACTAGGTCGGAATCTCTTAAGCCAATAATAGCAGAGGAGGTAGTAGATACGGCCTGCGATGTGACGACAATTAGGGATTGTAGTCTCTTTATTGAGGTTTTCGTCTTATCCAACTTGTCTTCATCGTCTCCCCTGTACTCCTGACCTTGTAGTGCAGCCAACTTCTTTTCATGCTCAATTTTTTCACCTTCTCTCGCCTACAGTCATTGTCAGTCAACACACATGAGCATTTACCAATAAACTAACACAGTAAAATGCAGCAACGTGAATTTTAAGCAGTTAACAAAGCATCCAATCCTCTTAATTAACTAGATTCCTTGTACTGACATGTAATTCAAGGACTATTTCATGAATAAATCTAATTGTACAACATTGGTTGACAACCATGTGTTGTCAAAATCCTACCATGTGAT